ACTGTGAATAGCATTAAGATGGAGCATCAGTCAGGTTACACATACATGTTAATATATCAACACACTAACATTGTAATCAACGGGAACACTTGTGTTTTTGTTCGAAAATGACCTAAGCATAACTCCAAGGTAAAATGTGTTTTTAAATGAGTGCAAAGGAAAAAATATAAGCGCCCACACACACGCACACACGCACACACACACACACACACACACACACACACACACACAAGGTGATCCACGATCATGCAGATCAATGTATTTCAAAGGCAGTCAGTGCAAATAACTTGAGCCATGCTGTGTGTGGCACATACTGGACTTGACTCCTCTTTCTTGCGTTTGGCTTTGCTGTGTACGGTGGTTTTGGATTGTATCTTTATGTGTCGCATGACTAGGACCAGCTCTAATTCTTTCACAAACACACCACACCTTCCACTATCCTCTGAAGTCATCCAATCTGGATGATTTCCAGTCCAGATAATGAATGCAACGATGCCCGCAAAGTCAGTCATGTTGAGGAACAGTATTATAGACCATCAGTTGATCTTGCGCTTGTTGTGTGCATTGCTGAGAGATCATCCAGATTGCCAACACCACATTTGGTGGCATTGCAATGCTGGATGAGTTCAGGCTTGTTCTGCCCATCCTCCAACTTTTTATCTTAATACAGGGTAGAAAGTGCCAGCCCTTATTTTCCTTTAGATGGCACATAGGAAAGCAAGGAAAGTTACCCATGAAAGCCAAAAATGGACATGCTATCCTCCCTGGCAACATTTGGTATAATCAACCTAGGGACCTCTGGTTTGTTAGATGTCACAGTACCAAAATATGTCAGTCCATCATTTAGAAGCTCTTCGGCTTGTGCAAGGGAGGTGAGGAAATGATCTGCAGTGACATTTCTGAGACTTCTGCTGCACTCACTACCTGAGACCCTTGACCAACTTCCTGCTATGTTTGTCATACTGTATGTCACAAATACTCATATATAAAAACTATGCTTATGAAGTGTCTTTTTACCTGCCAAAGTAAGTTCTAAGAGAAAATCTGCAGAGGGGACTATGTCCACATGTGAGCTGCCTGCCTGCTGAAAATATGCAGAATTAAGTTTCCCTGTCCCTTCTGTGGATATGGATCAGTTGATATCTGGTCACTACAAAAACACAGATTCTAATTATGATTCCTTCTATAAAGTCACAAAGGTGGAATTTGTTCATTTGTGCTGGGGTTAGATGTGACGCCAACAGATATGCCATTATCAAAAGAAATTTAAAAAATATAATGTATATTTATTGAAGGCAGGTTCATTGACAAAGTCAGGAAAATCAGGAAAGGGAGAGATCACATAAATTACATGAAAGGCTAAATTGAAAATTAAATTAAATTAAAAATTTAAGCCCAGGGACAGATCTGACCTCTGCTGGTTGCTGGAGGGTTAAATCATAAGGCATTACATAAACCAGAGTGCCTAACTTTTTCTCTTGAATCCTTTTTTTTAAAAAAAAAAAAAAAAAAAAACAAATCTGTACATTTGGAGACAAAAAAAACAAAACATATCAGATAACAGTCATCATAACACACAAATGAGCCTGGATTAAAAGTGTGTATAGTTAAACGTAACTGAAATGGCTTATAGACCTTTCACTGGATCTCTCTGCTCCAGTCAGCACTTAGACATCTGCTCCTTTAATTAATAATGGATATATGTTGAAATGCAAAATATAGTGATCTACCGACAAAGTTTGTTTTTGTGCAATTCCCTATTTCTATTATTCCTATTGATTAAAAACAATATAAACATGTGTCTGTGTTCAGAACCCGTACAAAGCCACTCTGTAGGATATACACCGATCAGCCATAACATTAAAACCACTGACAGGTGAAGTGAATAAAATTGATTATCTTGTTACAATGGCACCTGTCAAGGGGTGGGATATATTAGGCAGCAAGTGAACAGTCAGTTCTCAAAGTTGATTTGTTGGAAGCAGGAAAAATGGGCTAGCCTAAGGATCTGAGCAACTTTGATAAGGGCCAAATTGTGTCAGAACATCTCCAAAACGACAAGTCTTGTGGCGTGTTCCCGCCATGCAGTGTTTAGTACCAACAGTAGTCCAAGGAAGGACAACCAGTGAACCGATGAGAGGGTCATGGGCGCCCAAGGCATTGATGCATGTGGGGAGTGAAGGCTAGCCTGTCTGGTCCGATCCCACAGAAGAACTCCTGTAGCACAAATTGCTGAAAAAGTTAATGCTGGCTATGACAAAGGTGTCAGAACACACAGTGCATTGCAAGTTGCTGCATATGATGCTGCGTAGTCGATGTGGATGTTACTTTGACATGTATCACCTATCTAAACATTGTTGTAGATCAAGTACTCCCCTTCTTGGTAACAGTGGCAGTGGACTCTTTCAGCAGGATAATGCACCCTGCCACAGTGCAAAAATTGTTCAGGAATGGTTTGAGGAACATGACAAAGAGTTCAAGGTGTTGACTTGGTCTCCAAATTCCCTAGAACTCAATCCAATCAAGTATCTGTGGGATGTGATGGACAAACAAGTCCGATCCATGGAGGCCTTACAGGACTTACAGGATCTGCTGCGAACGTCTTGGTGCAAGATACCATAGCACACCTTCAGAGGTCTTGTGGAGTCCATGCCTCAATGGGTCAGAGCTGTTTTGGTGGCACAAGTGGGACCTCAGTCATAACATTAAAACCACTGACAAGGGGGACCTACACAATATTAGGCAGGTGGTTTTAAGGTTATTGCCAGTTGGTGTATGTCCTAGAGAGTCATGGATATATCATTCAAGATCTTATGTCATGTTTTAATTGTGCAAGGTCTATAAGTTGGCATGTGGCATGAATTTTGTGTATTAGCTATATAAAAATATGAGAGAAATTTTATTATCCCAAAGGGATGTTTTCTTTATGGGTAAGTGTACAATGAAAAAAAAAAATCTTCAGCTCTTTAAAGCCATAGTTCTCAGTGTGGTATTTTGGTGAACCCCAGAGATCTGTGAATCATAAGCAGAGGTTCTGTGATATTCTAATTTTGTAACAGTGGTGGAATGACAACCCACCATTATCAAAGTTATTATACATATGTCAAGTGGAATCTACTGACGAAGGTGAGGGGGAACCACTGCTCTATCAGAACCCTTTTTTTTTGTTTCTGATGGAATGATTTTATAGGAATGGACCATAAATCACTTGACTCTGTGTAAACTTCCTATATGCTCACTGATTTGTTATCTTTATTATGACATTATTCGTTTCAGGTGGTTCTTTGGCAAAATGAACCGAATTGAGTGTCTCAGTCACCTCCTGACAGATCAAAACAAAGATGGGGCTTTCCTGGTGCGAGTCAGTGAGACGGACAATGTGGGCCATGTACTCTCAGGTGTGTATTTAAAGGATATTCGCTTTATATAGTCTGATAAACACAAAGGATCATGAAACTTTTGGTTTTATTTTGATTATGTGCATTGTACATTCAATGTTATTGTTTGATGCTATTCATTAGAAGTGACCTGCCAGCCTACACAAAACCATCTGCACAATTCTATAATGCCAGGATGAAGTTAAATTCATGAATTCAGATGTTCATTAGAGGTATATGTACCTCCTGCTAGCTGTTTTTTTCAGACTGAGATGTTGCCAAAATTGTTGTCTCTTCACTTTTGGGTTTTTTCTGTTTTTCTTTCTATATCTTTTCAATCAGTTAAGGTAAAAAACAAAGCAAAGCACTTTAAGATCTATCACTCAGAGAATGAATTCTACGTGGACGAGTCCCGTAGGTTCTCCAGTTTGCTGGATCTTGTACAATACTATCAGAGTCATCCTCTGGCCTCTTTGGACAGACTGGGAAAACCTTGCGTCAGGGTGAGACAGACAGAACTTTCTGTTTCTCAGTTTTGTTTTTTTACTGTCCTTCTTGAAATGAATATTTCCTTTGTGCTAGCCATCATTTTACATCATATTCCGTCTTGTCTTTTGTCCCTTCAAAATAGAGAAGAATTGAGGAAGTGGTTTTACCTCTAGCTGTTATGTCATGAGAAACAATACATTACAACACAATATTAGAGCATTTGCAAACAATAAGCACACCTGATGATGAATAATAAAGATTATTGCACATAAATATTTTGGTGTGCAGATTATTATGTAGTAGAAATGCATGTAAATTTGTGGTAACACTCCTGTTGTCAGAGAAAGCCCAAGCACCAGGACCTGTCTCACACCACAGTGGACATGTGGGAACTTCCCAAAGAGGACTTCATTCTGGAGGACAAGCTGGGCAGTGGTTACTTTGCTGATGTTTATCGAGGCAAGTGGAAGAACCAAACCTACGTGGCTATCAAAGTTCTCAAGAACAACGGTAAGCTGTCACATAGCTGTAACACCAGCTCACGATGTTACGCCTTTTGGTTGTTGTCTGGATCATCAGTAAAGTCCTGCTTGAGTGTTATTGAAACTGAATACTCGTACTCTTACTTATTTCATATTTCCAAGAAAAAATGTTTTATTTTTACTCCTTAAAATTTTAATTTAGACATTCAGAGTATTTGTTACCAATCTTGAAGCGAAGCGAATGACTACACTATACATCAGTAGAATGGGCTCCAGTTTATTTTATTTACACTTCAATTTAAAGCATCAATCAAGTTTATCAGTGTAAACTTCTAAAAATATCAAAGTTGTTGTCTCATGTGAATCCCTATAAGGCATAAATTCTGTCTAATTTGAAAAAAAAATGTTGATGTAAGTTTAGCTAATTAATTAACTGGTCATTAACTGGCTGTATTTAAGTTAGCCCATTTTCTTTGTCAGGTTAGACTAGCATTGTTTCCAGTAGCTAACATAATATTATGTTAATGTTTTATTATTAATAATATATAACAATGTTAGTTTTTACATGAGAACATGACATTAACTCAGGGACTCACCTCAGTCGTGGTATTGAGGGTGGAGGAGAGCGCTGGTCATTCCCTCCCCCCATCCCTGCTGGACCTGAGATTCAAACCCATGACCTTCAGGTTACAAGGCCAACTCTCTAACCATTAAGCCACGACTGCCCCTGCTAGAGGCAGCAAAAGCCCCAAACATGGGGTCACTTCTACAATCCAATAGAATAAAATAGGCATGAGTCAGAATTTCATTGTCTTGAATATCATGATACAAAATACTGGTGAGATGAATTTGCTTCTCTGAGGTGCATCGTGAATTTCCATTTAATATTCATTATGAGTTCTACGTCCTCTTACACACTAGGTGGCAGCACCAGAGGTAGTAGCATACAGAGCACGAAGTTTGCGAGTGGGAACCTAGCTGCCTCAAAGCATGCTTACTAAACAGTCCACAAAGTTAAGTTAATCAGAAGGAAGTGTTATTGCACATGTGTCAAACACAAAACCCACAGCCTCATTTCATTTGGCCCATGTGAATAATGCTGAAACGGCCTGTAATACACTACTGCTCAACATTTTCACACTGTCTAGAATTCACAGCAGATCCATATAGGGTAGTTACTGTAAAACCACTATATATACTACCACTCATCAGCAGTAAGAATCGGAAGACCAGCTTGCAAAGAAATACAGAGATGAGCTACAAAAGTGCTGGAACCAAGATTAACCTCTTCCAGAGTGATGGAAAGGCCAAAGTTTGAAGAAAGAACTGACCTGCTCATGATCCGAAACATACAAGCTCATCGATCAAGCACGATGGAGGTAGTGTCATGGCTTGGGCTTGCATGGCTGCTTCTGGAAAAGGCTCATTAATCTTTATTGATGATGCAACTCATGATGGTAGCAGCAGAATGAATTCAGAAGTCTACAGAAACATTCTGTCTGCCAATTTTCATAGAAATGCATCTAATCTAATTGGGAGGAACTTCATCATGCAGCAAGACAATGACCCAAAACACACTGCCAACACAACAAAGGACTTCATCAGGGGAAAACAGTGAAAGGTTTTAGACTGGACAGGTCAATGCCCTTAACCCAACTGAGCATACATTTCTTTTCTTCATAGGATAAAGGTGATTTAGTCAGAATAACGTTGCATTGATTTGCAGTAACATCTTCCTCAGAAATGGACTCAAACCATGCCATCAAAATGGCCCCTACAGCATAACAGTCACCAATAACCAGTTTTTCCCTCTAATTTGTCACCCATCTGTATGCTTAATATTATGTTTTATATTATTTTATGTCTTCCTCTCAGAGTCTCTGAACCAGCGTACGTTTCAGATGGAGGTTGAGGTTTTGAAACAGTTGCGTCACAACCACCTTATCTCACTCTTCGCAATATGCACTTCCTCCATCCCCTATTACATCATCACTGAGTACATGGAGAAGGGAAACCTACTGGATTTACTCCGCAGTAAGTATTTACTCTCAGTCTAATCTTCTTCTGAACAATGGCCCAAAAAATACAGAAGAGAGCACACAAGGCTCAGCAAAGACACTCTGTAGCCCTTTTTTTGAGAACCTTATCCTTCAACATGGTAAAATGGTAGCCTATTGCGAAATTGTGTGTTCGCTGTACAGCTGTAAATTATTTTTACAGACATTTTTTTTTCTCTGCTCTCTTTGCTTTTCTGAGGTCCAGAGGGTAATGCTTTAGACCTGGAAATCTTGACTGACATGGCATTCCAGGTGGCTGATGGGATGACTTACCTGGAGGATCACAAGAGTATTCACAGAGACCTGGCAGCTCGCAATGTTCTTGTTAGTGAAGGATACCTGTGCAAGGTGGCTGACTTTGGTTTAGCGCGATTTATCAAGGTGATGTTTCAAAAATATTTTATCTTTGTAGAATTTAATGTGAGTTTGGAGTTTGCTGTAGAAGTAGATAGTCTAGGCTATAAACTATCATAGTATTCATTAACTTATGCTGTTCTATAGGATATCCTAGGTTTTTAGCTTGGACATATTTGGTAAAACCAAGAGTGATTCCATATATTATTATTTTTTCCCCCCTGTGTATACTATTATTCTCCAGTCAGTTTAGTGTTGTTTTCCACTTTACTTACAAACTGTCACAAAATGCTAAGACATCGTGCACAATCAAGAGGTGTTTTACTGAGACAAAATGACAGGTCCACAATCCAAATGATAAGCCCAATACATATAAGGGGACTTCGGGTAATTAAGTATCAGGTAAATAAAGAACTGAGGCCAGTGGATGCTTTATGTGAAGTTTCAATAAGTGGAGAAGGGTGTAGAATGATTAATTATTTAGTTGTTTATTACTTAAATTGTTCAATATAGATGGGTTTTTAGATTCAACAGAACACTTAATCGTCTACATTAGGGATGTGACTGAATATGAATACATTATTTCAGTTGAACAGTTCTAAAAAATGCAAATAGATATACGTATACGAATTTTTAGGAAGCTTGCCAAAAACCTTCAGTTTAAGACTAGAGGTGTGCGTCGGGACTGGGATTCTGCAGGATGAAACTAACAAAAAAAAAATCTGATAATCCATTTTAAAAACATTCATTTGTATGTTCTTTGCATGTATTTTTTGTCATTCTAAAATATATGTTCATAATCATACTGCTATTGTAATGAAATGCCAGTTAAACGACTTTGAGTAGCAGCAGCACTGCATCCCAGCATTTGTTTTTGGTAACAAACCAAAAAACAAAAGTAAATCTGATAAAATATCATTTGATGGCTATTGTTGTCAGCTATAAGCAACAGTTCCCTGACTTGGGAAAGACATTTTTGTTTTCACTTTGTGTGTTACATTCCTCTTGTAGGAGCCGATCTATTTGTCTAATGATAAAAAGATTCCATTCATGTGGACAGCTCCTGAAGCCATCGAGCATGGCATTTTCTCGAATAAATCTGATGTCTGGTCTTTTGGCATTCTCTTACATGAGATTTATTCTTATGGTGCAAATCCGTATCCAGGTAAACCATAATCAGCTTTCTTTGATTTACTTTTAAACGTTGCAACAGCAATATTATGTTATAGTTAGTAAGCACAATATAAATTACTTACAGTCCTCATAAATTCTGTGACTTATGTAATTTTGTTGTTACAATCAAAACAAATAATTTTGTTGTTGTTCTTGCATTTTGTAGGTTTCAGTAAAAAAGCTCTGCGTGAGGAGATCAAATGTGGCTACAGGATGCCTGCTCCTCCCAAGTGTCCTCACTTCATCTACAAGATTATGCAGTCCTGTTGGCGCGAGCGGCCAGACGACCGGCCAAATTTCAAGTCCCTGAAATCTGAGCTTCAGGAGTGCATTAACCGCATCATTTAGCTCTATACATATGTATATAGTGTACATAATATTTTTTCAATGAAATGTACAGTGTGATATGGTTTTTGACTTTGTAAACTTGCTGTGTAAAGTTTGTCTAATCTTTTACAGATTTAACACAATAGCACACAAAATGTCCTAGTATATTAATTATATACATTGTGTTAACTGTAATTTATATTCAGCGCATTAATTGTTATATAGACTTCATGTGATGGTGTAAAGTACATGAGAAGCTGCTGTAATGATATTGTCAAGATGTTAAAAACCTGGAACAGTTCCAGTTTAACAAGCACAGTGCACTGTAATGATCAGCAACAGTAAAATGTGTGATTCTGCTTTAAGATATGTTCTCAATGTCAGGCACTGACACTGTACATGAAAATGAGAACAGAGTTTTAATGGAAGCATATTTCATTAGATTTGCATTAGCATATTTCATTAGATTCATTAGAACAATTTAATTAATGGTTGACATATTTTCTTTAATACAGTTATTTCCTTTATTTTTCTCCAAGCCAGCACTCAATCATGGCAAAATCGACTTATAGGCTAAAACACTGGCTAAAATAGTGATCATGAAAAGACAAAGCACGTGCTTTTGGGTTCAAGTTAAAGTCATTAGCATAAGCAGATTTCAAAATGGGCTGTCCTTACAGCTTAGTCTTCATATATTTATGGGACAGTATATAACAGTGCTTTTGAAACATTAGTAGTGTCTAAATAATACAGCCTCTGATAAAGTAAAGGACGTTGGCTAACAGATTATAGAAAGATCAGATTACTTCTTGTTATTTTTTTAATGGTGGCTGAAAAACTGGGGAACACACACGCCTAATGACTGAAAAACACAAACGAGTGACTAGAAAACTCATTACCCAACTTATAACTGGTTGGTGATTTTTTTTTTATCAGCTCATCTCAACCGATTGATTTAAGCCATAGTTTCTGAACCTACAGGGTTTTCATTGCTCCCAATACACTTAATACACTTAATCCAATTATTCAGCTAATTAACAGTCCTTCCTGGGTTGAAGTGGGTGTGTTAGAGCAGTGAAACACTAAAATGTGCAGCACAGAGCGTACTCCATGACCAGGGTTGGGAGCGTGTGATTTAAGCTTAAAGCAAATGCTGCTCATGCTCCTGCAACAGATTAATTAGTATGTTTTGCACTAAGGTGCTTCATGCAGTCTTGAATGCCTGTGCACTCTTTTACTATCTGCCTCCTATATTTAATTTTTAACGATCATTACTATTTTGTGCTCTATTGACAGTATGTGTTTAGATTTTAATTGTTGACCAGCAAAAAAATGCCGTTTTAGATTCTTGGGCTGGAATATATTTATATATTCATATATATATTTATATATTCATATATTTATGGCAGACTAGGAACTGTTTCAGTTTTTTCTGTACAAAAATCACTGATTGTGCTTCGCAGAATGATCAACCCTGTTACCTGTGTTTACCTATCAAGGTATTCTTTGCACTTCAGATGTGCATGACTGCTGCTGCTTTGAAATGTATTAACATCATATTCCTGCAACAAAAGAAAAACAATAAAGCACAACTTCAAGCTCAACCTCCTCTATGTGTGCTGAGTTTCTGAAACAAGTCTTGTAATGAAATGATATAATTGGCCTGCAGTTTGAATCACTTACATTGTTTTACATAATGATTCCTGCAGTACAGCGAAAGAGCAAACCATTAATGTGTTCAGGAAATTGGTAGTTCTCATATATTCTCATTCCAGTACTTATAATTTCCTCAAAAGGCTCAGGAACTTCAGTCG